CACAGGAATGGGAGTAGCATGCCTCTCAGGGACCTCTAGTTACCAATCCCACCCTTAAACCCCTCCCCCAAACACTAGGCTGGCACTTGGCCCCCATTTCGTCCTGTGATGGCACCATAGGGCTTCCTGCAGCCCTCCAGCAGCTCAGGAACCTGCATTATAGCTCCCAATTTTAATTTATAACTTGATTTCCTTTCCACAGGACATGCAAGGTAGTAGACAGTAGATAGTAAAATTAATACACTGATTCAAAGGGTTTGGCTGAAGGAGAATGTTTTGACTTCATTCCTACAAGTGGAAAGAACAGGTCTAAACAGAGCTCCTCAGGAAGAGCATTCCATAGCCTGGGAATGATATAGGAGAAGACCCCTCCGATGCACCCACCAGACTTCATCTGAGCAGTTCTGGACATCTGTATCTCTCCTCTTGGCCCCATCTCCAGATCTGCTGAGCACCTCAACTCTTTTCTTCTGGCCTTCTTCTTCAATACTCTGAATTATGTTTTCAGCCTTACCTGTGCCTCTGTCTGTCTGCTGCCTTCCCACCCGTTATCTGCTTCTTTCCAAAATCATGTTTGAAGCATTCCTTTTCTAGTTCTTTCACCTGTCTGCCTCTCCAGCTCTGGCTTATTAAGGCAGCACAGTCCATCATAGCCACAAGTTTCATCGCTGTCACAACATTTCTTGGACAGGGATGGGCATTCTGTATCCACAGGGCCAGAAGTGGCCCTTGAGCCCTCTTGGGCAGCCCTCAGAGCCCTTCTTAAATAGCTCAATTTTTTGCCATGGTGAGCTGTGAAACAGAGGAAAACTCTAGCATAGGTCCTAAGTAGGCATATCATAAAGACCACACTCATATTCCTGGAAAAAACAGCTCCACCCATATTGTAGCTTCCCAGAAACAACTAAAAGTGGCCATAGGCCATAAAAATGCTTGCCACCCTTTTTTTGTGCATCACAAAAGAAACCAATATCTCCTAAATTGTGTCGTACACAAAGCCATTCACAAGTTTATGCACTTCAATGCGTGTCTGTCCCCAACTCTTCAAAAGACTAGGCCAAATGAATCGGATTCGTTCATATTCCTTTCTTCTCCAGACATTTTGCTTAGCAAGAACACTGTACAGAGGAGAAGACCAAGAAGCCGCATTTTCCCATAATGGTACATGCAAATCCCTTACCTTCTGAAAAAATATACATATAAATATATATACTGCAGCTCATTTAATGGATTTGTGGCTTCCCCCAACTCTTTCCAAAAACCAGGACTTATACCTCATCTGCCCCAATAAATTCCTCTTCAAATAAACTGAAGCAGCCCTTTTGTTTCAAGCCACAATAACGATTCAGATGGCCAATGCAACCACATGCCCGCTATTCACACCAATCAAGCTTCAGTGACAGGTTTCTGGCTTCTCATATTCTTTCAAGCCATTGGCACACATCCACACTCTAGGAGGGAGAAGAGGAATATTCGCAGATGTCTAACAGATATGCGATTGGTATGAATAGCCAAATTTTAAAAACAGAAGAGACAGCACCTACATATTTTGCAGACCACATATACTTGTTCTGCTGAACTGAAAACTGACGCATCTGCTTACCACGTGTGTTGGTTGCCATGTCTGCTACTTTCTGAAAGGCGTCCAAGAAGGCAGCTGCTGCTACGACCGTTGTCCTAGAATACAGGCAGACAGCATAATATTAGAAATAGCTTGCTGCAGTCTATTTGGGTCACTACACAAGAAGAAAAAAATATTATTAGACTGTAAAAAGCAGCTAATAAGGCACTTGTACATAGAACAAAGAAACGGTGATGATCTTCTCAATCTTATTTGCTCCCTAATTTGCTTTTTTTTTTTCCTGCAAAAGGACCATGAGTAACAGTAGAAAGTACTTCTCTATTGTCTAAAACTCTGCAATAAGAGGCAATGCAATAAGTATAAAATTTTTTTTTTTCCTGCAAAAGGACCATGAGTAACAGTAGAAAGTACTTCTCTATTGTCTAAAACTCTGCAATAAGAGGCAATGCAATAAGTATAAAATTTTTTTTTTTCCTGCAAAAGGACCATGAGTAACAGTAGAAAGTACTTCTCTATTGTCTAAAACTCTGCAATAAGAGGCAATGCAATAAGTATAAAAGAATAGACTGGATGCTCAAAAGTGCAAACCTTATTGGCTGAGTTTGCACACTGCACTGAAACATCATGTGATTCATTTGGTTTTCGCTCACTGTGTGTGCAAACCCCACTGGTTCAATTAGTAAAGCACGGTTCATGGCTTAGCATTATGAATCAATCTAGCTAGTTGGGATTTATTCAACAAGCTAAGCTTAAGTGATAGCTTAGCATAATCTATGGGGCCCTGCAGGGCAGACTGTGCTGATTTTGGCCAAGCATGTCATGAGAACCCCGCCTTTCTTGCTTGTAAGCCATAGCTGGGGCTTAGCATTGTGTAAACGCTGCCTACTGAGGCTAATTTAGTAAATCATGGTTTAGTGTATGTTATCCCAGCCGAAGAAGAGCAACTCCTAATATTTTAACAGTAGGAAAGATGTCATCAGCAGACATTAGTCAAGACCTGTTCTTGACATCCCAAAGAGTACGACATGAAATAATGGAAGTGATTAAAAACTAAAATACTAACAGCAAATGCCATGACATTATCCTTTACTGAATGTGTTCAACTGGAGGTTAGATGACCATCTGTTGGGGATGCTTTAGTTTGGATTCCTGCACTGAGCTGGACTGGACTACGAATGGCCTAAGTGGCCCCTTCCAACTCTGGGAATCTACGATTCTATGAGCTGTTGGTAGGGATGTCAGTGACTCATAAGACTGTTTCCCATCTGGAGAAAAAGCTATTCTGTATTCACAGTAAAATTTTGGCTTATCAAGTCTTGCTACTACATAAAGGATATACTATTGTCTTATTTCAGACAACAGTAAGATAACAGAAGTATGCAAGTGTGTATCTGTTTCAATCAAACAAGTGGCAGACACCTGGTCTACAAGTATTTGGGAGCAAAATCAACCCAAGACACTATTTACATCTCTGGTTCTAGATGACCAAGCAATCTTTTGGTCAAGAAGCTTCAGATTCTGTAAGTGAACTGGGGGAAGCTTCTCCTTTTCATTTAAGTTAGAACACCTTAGATGTCCTCTACAATAAATGTCAAGATGAAACAGCTTCCCAAGGCAAAAGATATTGAATGCCATTAGGAACATCCAAATGCACAATTGACCCTACAGAACCACCCATCATGAAGCAGTCCCACAAAAGCCCTGTTGGAATAGACTGAAGTAATAAAGGAAACAGGGTATACATAAAACCTCTTCTGAGCCATGCATCAGTCCAGAAAAGCATGTGTCAAAGAATATGTTGATGTATTACAGCGATGCTGGTTAGTGGGAAGGGTAAATCATCACTGAGATTTTCCAGTTAAGTATTGTAGGACAGCCCTACCAATCTTAACTAAGACTGTGTTCAGATTGTGGTAAGCCACTGCTTGTGGAAAGTCACAATGGCCTGCTTCATATGTTAAATTAGGATTTAGCACTCTACTAGGCATACTGGCAGGGTCAAAAAGTGAGCTAATCCAGCCCCCCCCCCCAAATTGATACTACAACTTAGTGAAATATGCTACACATTATGACTCATGTATGTGCATGGAGATTTTTCTTTGGTTTAACTATAGGATATTCAGGTTGTTATTCCCCATTCAACACTTCAAGAAATATAGTCTGGGATCAGTTTAATTTGGTTCTCGGTTGAAACTTCTGCCAAATACAAGAAAAGATGACTGTGTTAAGCTTTCAGCACAAATTCCCAAACAATCTATAGACATGTAGTCCCATTTCAACACAAATCTAGTTGCAACAGGTCCCCAGTTTCTCCCTTCAGCAAGATATAAGACATTCCCTAAATATAGTAGGCAGTTGGTGAATAAGTAGGTCTTAAAGACTCTGTTCAGCTTAAAAACTTAATACTGAATTATTTCCCTCTTTGGCTTAATTAATTGCATATTCAGATTTAAATTTTAAGGAATCTGGGGCATGACTTTGGGGATGAACTAAAAAGAAAGGCATACTGCAGGTGGAAGGAAAAAAAAACCTCAGAATCCCGAAATCAAGAAAAAAAACTAAACATTTGACAGCTGCTAGCAAGCTTAACTTTGGTGCTATTTTAAGTGCCTTGTCTCCAGGTTGAGGAACAAGGGCAAGTTAACCAGTATATATATCTCTTGTCCTCATTCTACAGCTTGGATCAGCTTCATAAATGATAGTAAACCATGATTTGATGGTAGCTTTTTGAATGAACTGCAATAGGCTGAATTCAAACAACACAGTAACCTCAAGCAAAATGAAGCCCATTATGCCTCTGCTTACACAACAAACTACAATAGAACAGCGATATGGATTCCAGGAGCAAGAAGTGATTTGGAGCTGCGCACAGATCACCTGCTGGGAGCATCTTAAACAATGCCTCTTTCCAAGATCACATACTAAACAGCTGTGCAAACCCAGAAAAAGATGAGGCTGCCTGAAAGTCTTTTCAACAGATGTTGTGTGTACGCCCCATGCATGCTCCAAATCACATCTTCTCCTTTGACCCTGGATCTTTGCTCAGTCCGAGAACACACTAACCTCAAACCTAGCAAGCCCATGACAGCTCAGAATGATATGTGAACCCACCCCAGCAATGGTCATACAACTCTGGATATAGCCAGATGCTTCACAAAATTAGAGTGAGCTCCAACTGCAATCAAACCATCCTGAAGCAAGAGAAAACTCCACGTTGCTTCACATCTGTGACAGACTTTCATTTCACATTTCTACACTGGTTCCCCGTATTTTCATACTCACCACCCACAGTAAACCTACAAGTATACTAATTACTATTTGCTTTCTTTTTTCAGCAAAGGGCTCACCCAAACCAAACAATTCTTTCCAGTAAAACCTCAGTTTTTCCTCAGCCTGTATTTCCAGACAGTTTTGCTCCTCCTTTTCCTAGTCCTCTTTTCTCACATTCACATTTGTTCTTTTTGCTCTGTAGTATGAGTAAAAAAAGGAGAGCCAGTTTGGTGTAGTTAAAGACTTTGGCTAGAAACCAGGAGACTATGAGTTCTAGCCCTGCCTTAGGCATAAAGCCTAAAGCCAGTTGGGTGACTTCAGGCCAGTTACTCATTTGTAGCCTTAGGAAGAAGGCAAGGGCAAACCACTTCCAAAAATGTTGCCAAGAATTACAGGGACCTGGAGACTAACTCGAAAGGAAAAAAGTGGGTGTAGAAAGTAACATGCAATCTTCTTGTTCCTCTTCAATTTCCAAGTATTTCATCCTCCAAATAGGCTAAAGAGATCCGCTGAGAATCTCCGGTGACTCAATCCCCATAGATTCACAGAAGAAGAGCCACTGTGATGGATTCAGGACAACAAATTCCCTTTCCACAGCACTCAATCCCAACTCAGAAGAGAGCTCTTTTCCCCCTGCTACCTGGTAACAGCACCCATCTGACTTTAGCTGACCTTGAAAAACCTAAGGGGGATCAGAGCTGGCTAGTCCTCAGATGGGAAACAATCAGGAAATCAAGGCAGTAAAGCCTGACTACAAAGTCAAAAGATCATCCTAGAAGAGGACAATGGCAAACCTTTTTAATATTGTTGCCAGGAATGTATCTGGACATGCCCAAATAGCGCCCAGGAGCCCAGCTCAACTAAAGGAAGTCTTTAATTCTAGCTATGAAGTAAATTAATATTTGCACTCTATTCCTTCTTCTGTTTCATTCCCTCACTACATCACTAACCCACCCCACCCCTTAAGCATACTGGCCATATTACTTCTAGTGTACACAATATGCTAAATCAATTCTGGGCACCCCATTTCCAGAAGAATACTGACAGGCTGGAGAAGGTTCAGAGGACACAAGGTATTGAGGTCATGTTCTAACAGGATAGGCTGAGGAAACCTGGGATGTCCACTGTCACAGGACCAGAAATAATGGGTATAAGTTACAGCTGCCTACATTTTATTCAGGGAAAAAACTTCCTTAGACTTTAAGATCTGTACAACAATGGAACAGTCTACCTACAGAGACTGTACTCTCTGCCTCTGACAGTTTGTAAGAAGAGGCTGGACTGCCACCACTGATGGATGATTGAATTGGTTTTCCTGCATACTGCAGAGGATTGAATGGATGGTCCTGATTGTGCCTTCTAACTCCACAATTATATGGCTTATTATGTGTTAAGATTTATATTCTGCTTTTTCTCCAGAAACTCCAGGCAGCTGAGATGGAGATTCTCCTTCATCTTATCTCCACAAAAACTCTGTGAGGTAGATTGAACTAAGAGACTAGCCCAAACTTCCCAAGGCTGATGATGAACTTGAACCTAGGTCATTCTGAAAGAATACTTAACCACTATACTACATTAGCTCTCATGTTCTCTCTCTCCCTTTAAAACAGCTGCCAATCCATGACTATTGGTGGCATAATAAATAAATAAATAAGTAAATAAGCAAGTAAATAAATAAATAAATAAATAGTTACTAGAAACAACTGGCCTCTCACATCACATTAAGCCTAGTTTCTCCATTACCACAGATTCTCCACCATTAGTTCTAAATGGGGTTGCACTTCCTCAGGCAGATCACACAATTTTTCCAACTTGGAAAAAAAAATTCTTAAAAGTAAGAGCAATTTGACAGTGGCTCCCCTTCACTAGAGACTAGGGAGTCATATGTCTGGAACTTTTCCATTCAGATTCTTGCACTGAGCAGGGTTTGGATTTGCTAGTCTACATGGCTCTTTCCAACTCTTCAATTCTATGATTGTTTGGCTAGAGAAAATAAATTCCAGGGAGCAAGTAATATTCCAGATTTTGCTAACCGATTTCTTTTCCTTTCCTTTTTTGGTGTTAAAGCGTTTGAATCATCACAAAAACAGGACACAAGACAGATCTGCCTGTTATTCACTAGCTGCACAGTTCACTCCTCTCTAATTTTTACCTCCCAGTGGCCAGTTGCACTGCAGCCTCCCAGATCAGGTTTACTGACAACTGAGACACAAAAATCTTCTGTAAGGCAGTAAGCTCATCAGACAAGGGTCAAAACCACTCAGTACTCCTGGAAGTTTTATCACTCTTTTCCTTTAACTTAATTAAACCTAAACTGCCATCATTGCTCAGATGTGAAGTCTTGTAAGTTTCCCTTCTGGGGTGTCTGCCTGCTCAGCCTTTGCAAAATGCTTTCATATGTTGAATGCAGTGTAGTTAATAAACCACAGTGAATAAACCATGATTTGTCTTAGCATGCTACTGTGGTTTAGTTAGCAAGCCATGCTTAGCAAATTGTATAAACTCTGCTGATGCAACAGATTAAAGGTAAATAACACAGTCTCCTTAGAGAAAGCCTGATAATCAAAAATAAAGGCAAAAACACTGATACATGGTATGGATGGTCAATCTTTGAACCACATTCAGTCCCCAAGCACCCACCTGGTTGCACCTGGAACATGTTCATACAGTGTAATAGGAAATAAATCAATTCATGGCAGTCTTATTCCCCCCTCCAATTTTCCCTAAAATAAGGGCTAAACATGGGTGCCTCAAGCTATGTAGTATTTAAGGGACCCACTTCATTGTTTAACACATTTCCCACTTACCTGTCCCAAACCGACCTAGCATAGCCAATTCCATTGCTTTGCTTGCAAATTAATGCCCACAAACTGTCTATAACTCTTGAAGATCCAATTTTTTAAAGCGAGGTTATGTCCTGCTATCACAAGGAATTGCCCACCCCAGTAGACAAGAATAGCTTACCTAAGTTGAGACTGGAGTTTCCCTGCTTTATTTATGAAATCTTCCCAAATTGGATAACTTCCCTGGAAGAGAAAAAGTACAAAACTTCAATCAATACAAACATTTCCCCATTTCTGAAAAGGTAAGCAAACTTTCAAAAAAGAAAAAGAAAAATACACAGTAGCAATAAATAAGAACACAGGTAATGTTGATCAATGTTTTTCTGAAAGACCCAGGATGAAAAGCAAGTTCATATCAGCACAGAAGAGTTTCTTCTTATCAAATTCGCACCCTAACCTTGGGTATACTCAAAAACTGGGGCTACTTTGGAATAACCATTTCTCTTAACTTTACAAAGGGGCTGGGAAAAACAAGCAACTTGTTTATACACCAGCCACAATACACACAACCAACTGAAGGTTGTTAAAGTTCATTCTAACTAAGACAGAACCCTGGTAATACAGCATTTTAAACCCCCCATCAGCCAGAATGTTAAGACAGTCAATTCCCAAACATATATTCACAAATGGAAAAGTTTTTAATTGTGGCATTTTCTTCAATTTGTTCAAACTGGCCCAAAGAGCAGCGTAGGAATAAGAATGAGGATATAGTACGTATCATAGATCCTTAAACTCTTTGACCCAATTACCCCTTTTCCCGGTCTCAAATAACGTCATTATCCCCACAAGAAAACCAAACTTCATTATTTTACACAAGTGTCTCAGCAGCAGTAGTCACAAACAGGATCTTCAACTCACAAACAAGCAATTACAAATTGCTCTGTTACCCCCAGCCTATACCCAAATTACCTCCAGTTTAAGAGCCACTGGCACATAAATGCACATATGTTTGCTCTGTGGTGCACAAGATGTGAAATTTGCAGAAATTATAAAAATATGGAAAAAAAATCACTCCAGGAGCAGTAGAAGCAGAGTGGAAATTTTGCAAAATGTGCAACACTTTCTATCAAGCTCCATTTTATTGCACTGGCAACATGAAAAATATTATTTAAAACAAGGGTGGAGAAGAGTCTACCCCAAAAGTCTGATTACTCCCCAGAAATTCTCCTGTAGGCTAGATGACATCATCAAGCAGAGACAAGACTCTGTCTTTTTGCAGGAAGAATTTACTACAGAGTGCAAGGAGCACCCTGAAGTAGCTCCTCTTAGGTACGGGGACTTGAAGGCCTTCCCAAGAGTTCCTCCATTGGGGCCGGTCTTCACATTTTTCCAGTGAAGTTCCAGATGTAGAGTCCTTGGGGTTCGCTGAGCTTGGTTGTTTTCTTGCAGGCATTTCATTATCAGACTAGGATAGTTAGCACTGAAGATGTTACCCAGTCAGGTAGTGAAATGTCTTCAAAAAAACAACCAAGCTCAGAGAACCCCAAGGACTCTACAGTTCAACCCTGAGCTACATATATTCTCTTCTATTGAAGCTCCAGATCTCTGATGATAGAGCACAGATTTCAGGAAAGAGCCAAGTCCATGTCATCTGGATATGGATGTTTGGCTCTTGAGCCAGAAACACCTTGTATCAGACTGATATTTTAGCTAAGGTATAAAATGAAATTATTTGGTGTATTTGAGACAAAGAATAATCCTATGGATCCTTGTAAGTATAAACCACAATTTTCCCCCCACAAATTTTCAAACACAAAATCTGGAGAGAATGCAATTAGAGCAAGTAAATTCCCACCCTCCTAATCCCCTCAAACTCAGCCCAACTCTGTCTTGGTTTTGATAGAAGGCTGCAGTTGCTCTGAGACAGTTTGACAACTACTGAATCATTCCACCTTTCCCAGGAGACACTGCAAAAGACCCATTAAATACAGACACTATTCTGTCAAGGATCAGTCACTTCTCGATAATCATGAAACTAAATCAGAGCAACGCTGGGCTGAGCAAAAGATCTGTCAACTGTTGATGATTTTGAAGTACCAATGAAGTATGCAAGACTCCCTCTTTGGCCCCAACCTCACCTGTTACAGCACAAGCGCCAAACAAAACAGCAATTCATTCAGTCATCTTCAGATTTCTTGCCTCTCTGGTTCATTCTCCCTGAACTTCAAAACCATCCACTTCATCTGTCAAGGATTTTTTGCTTTGTTTTGTTTCTTAACACAACATGAAGCTTTCACCAATGTTTTCATTGTAGTATATTTCATAACATTTAATCCATTATCCTTTATCTAATTACTTATTTACTCCTTAGATTTATGCCTTTCTTCTAGACATTCAAAGCAACGTACATAGCAACTTTTCTTCATATCATCAACCCATTTGGGTAGGCTGACATGAGTGACTGACCAAGCTCACTCACTAAGTTTCATGACTGAAGGTTAACCTGAACCTGGACCTCCCCAGTCCTAGTCCAACAGCTTATCCAATATACCATACAGTCAGCAACATCAGAGGATCACATTAAGTGCACCCAGGACTTAATGAAGGCAGAGGGGCCACACTTGGCATCTTTATTCTTCTGCCTGTAAACTAGACAGCTATGTTGCCCACATGCTTAGCACACATGATGAAGAGGCCTTTATAGGGATCAATGCATGTGTATAGAGATTTTCCAGGTGAAGGGGAAATTCTAGATTCATATAACCTGCAAAATCTGAGCAGCTATATAGTGTTGCCACATCATCCCATTCACTTAACAACAGCCAACTGGCTGTGATAACCTTCCCAATCAATCAAAACAGAAGATTAATCTCTTGTTCATTATACTCCAATGCAGTTTTCTGCTTCTCTTCATGGTTAATGTGATTTTCATTACATTTGCTAGTGAAAGAAAATCCAGGTGGAACTAACACATGCAACCTTATACAGCAATTTTTCTCCCTCAAAATAAAACCAGATGATTCAAAATTCCAATTCCACTCAACCTCGGGCAGAATAACTATTGAAAAGAGACAATGCCAACCATAGCCCCAAGACATCTGATGGCCACAGGTTCTTCACTCTTAACCAGTATTTTGAGAAAATGCTACTCAGGTCTTCCTCTGACATAGGAAGAAACATCATGTCTAAAACCAAATGAATATTGACATTTGTCACTTAAAAACACACTTATCCAAATACACTAAACTGGAACTCAGAACTTTCTGGAGAATACCAGGTTGGGAAAGATTGCATTGTAGCATAATCCTAACATCAAGGATTACTATTATTGCACTGTAAGTACAGTACCAAGGTTTGACAAACGCACCATCCTAATTAACTCAAAAGAAAGTTCTTATTTCAGTTAGTTTACTAGCCAACTGTAAATGTATGCAGAACGCTACTTTTCCCGCTCTGAGTCTTCTAAACCTAACACACTATGTTGAAATCACAATCTTTTACTCCAAATTAATTAGCCTGCAATAGCAGTTTTATTTATTTTCTTCCTTCCGTATTAGTAAAAAAAAAATTTATATTAGCCATAAGCTTATACTGAAGAGGTAGGAGGGGGGAAAATCCATCCAGCATGAAGATTAAGAGAGAACTAATCCAGGTTAATTGCTATGACTCAATTACTCCTGAATTTACACAACCTTGATTAAATTAAATAAATTGTATTTAACTGATTCACAATTTGAGTCGCAGCAACCTCAGGGCTAGCTATCCTGCCAGAAAGGGACATAGTTGACCTAAATGCATTCTTCTGCCTTGTCTGTCTAATGGTGGAATAACAGAACTTTAGAGGAAAACGTTATGAACTCAAGGCAATATGATCACTAATCTCGTGACTGGCCTTTGGTGACCTGAATTTCTTGCACATTTTTTCAAGAGCAGAGAAGAAAATCGCTTTGCTACTAAAAGTAGTATGAATGTGAAAATTGGGAAAGGAAATGCTTCCCACAGCTGAATTATAAATCCCTAAAATGCAGCTTTCTTTTTAGAGAAGAAGAGTCCTCTTTTTAGCTTTTGCCAGCTATACTTAGTGGGACATCAGAGTAAGAACACAAAACACAATTGCATAAGCTGGTAATAATATTTTGTGGGTTGCAGCTGTGGAAACAATTATCTTAAAAATATATCTGCTCCAGGTGGGGTAGAAATCATAGATCAGACAGCAACCCAAGGCAAATCTGCCCGTGTAATTAACTGAGCAGGGGGTTATATGTTAAATAAATAAAGGTTTATTTGTTTGCACTAGCAGCACACTCATTTTTCATGCAGCACAAGCTGTTTCCATGCATATATACCCAAACCACCTCTGGCTTTGTATTTCTGGCTTTATAGCTTCCAATTTTGGCAAATAGCTAAGACAAGAAAATTACAGTCTGTTAACACCTGACTAGTTTGCAATTCTTCCCTACTCTTCGAATGCATTATTTAACCCCCTAGACCAGTGTTTCTCAACGTCAGCAACTTTAAGACATGTGGACTTCAACTCCCCAGCCAGGGATTTCTGGGAGTTGAAGTCCACACATCTTAAAGTTGCTGATGCTGAGAAACACTGGTCTAGACTTTTCAGTATAAATATTAACCAGATTCAGCTAATTAGAATTATCCTGTTATTCAAATGCTCTACCACACGGGATGATTTGAAGTTTGGGGACCTGCTAACCTAAACTGAACATATATCAAAATATTGTATGACAGAACTTTGCCCACAGAGGTATGTCAACATGTGCATTGCTAACGTGATTAAGAAATGGGTTTACTGAACCAAAGTGACATTCGTTGCCTAAATATTTCATTCAATCAATGAGGGAAAAGGCCACTTGCAAAACAGAAAGCAAAGAGCAAATTCCAATCTATAAAAGAGTTGAAACTCGTGCAATTCTTCTAAAACATCTGCTTTTTGCAAAATTCCGGTTCACAATGCCTTTCGCTCTAGATATCAATTTAAGGGGGGGAAACCACAAGGTGAAGCTGAATTCTTAGCAATTCTGTGAAGTATTAAGGAATCCCAGTAATGCTGCTGACAACATAAAGGTTGGCTTATACAGGCAGTCCTTGCTTAGCGACCACAATTGGGACCAGCAGCTCTGCCGCTAAGCACCGCGGTCATCAAGTGTAAAATCACGTGACCATAATGGGCTTAAGACCTCACTTCTTCTTTGGTCATTAACCAAAACATCACATGACAATGATTT